GCTGCTGCGGAGACGCCCGCCGCTGCCGGCCCCGCGGCCCACAGGTACCCCCGCCCCGCCCGGGTCCCTGCCATGTGGCTGGGCCGGGCAGGTGCCACCCAGCTGCACCCGCGTGGCCCGGAGTGGCAGACAGGGGTGCGCGGTAGCACCGGGATCGGGGGTTAAAAGCCGCTGGTTATGCGTGTGCGCCCCTCCCCCTGCCGCAGCCCGAGTGGCGGGCACGTGGCCCGGTGGCACAGCAGCCAATCCAGCTGCGCCCGCGCGGCCTGAGGCAGCGCCCGGAAGCCGCGCAGCGCTGCACGCTGGGAGCAGGGCGGGCGGAAGGGCCGCGAAGGGCCGGCTCCCTTGCCCAGCGGGTGGGCACTTGCTTGGGCTGAAGGGCTGCTCAGGGAGTTTGAGTGAGCTGTTGCAGGCAGTGGTGGAGGGGTGATGCCGATCCGGCCTGCAACAACTTGGAAAAACTCCGAAAGTGGCCTGAATAGTAGCAGTGCACCGATAAATCAGTGGCATATCAGATTGCCATCGATAACAGGAAAATGAATATGATCAGCAATCGGCTTTTTTTTGGGTGGGTGTAGCCGATACTGTCGCCAATAAATGCCATGTGTGTGCACACGGCTAGGAGTGCAGCTGGGCAGCTTGAAGAGCAGCATCCAGCCAGTAACTCAGCGTCATAGTGCTTAGGGTCGGAAGGGACCTAAACAGATCATCAGGTCCGACCCCCTGACCCAGGCAGGAACAGGTGCCGGGGTCATAACACCCCAACCAAATATATGTCCAGCCTCCTCTTGAAGATGAAAAACTAGACCTCCTGTTTAGGAGACTGGTGCTTTAACAAACTAAGCTGTGGCACGCTGGGGGGGGGCGGGGGGGAGGGCGTGCAAATGCAGATCGAGGCCCCCTTGGTGAGGGAGGGACTGGGGCAGGAGCAGGCGCTGCCCAGCCAGGGTTTCAAATGTGACTGTACCAGGAGTTTAGTGGAGACATGAGTGCTTTGTCCAGGCAGGGGCTCCCTGCTGCTGTGTGCACCCCCAGGGGACTCGTGTGGGTATGTGCCCCCTGGATTTGTGTGCAGGGTGAGGGCAGGCTGCCCACTGCAGGCTCAGGGCTGGGCAGGGGTTCAGCTGAAGTGGGAGAAGCTCTAAAGTAGTGGTGACTGGCCTGCATGTTGGCTATCAGATTGGTATCAGCTAATATGGCTGATTAATAATTGGCCAAGAAAATCTGCACCCCTACTAAAAAATTGCCCACCCCTATCTTGGGGCTTCTGCTTCAGCTGAACCTTTAGAAAAGCAGTGCTGATATTGCATTACCAAGTGGGCAGGGCATCGAACCAGAGATCAATAGGGCTGGAAGGGACCTCCAGAGGTCATCTAATCCAACCACTTGCCTGAGGCAGGATCATCCCTGTCCATCCCATGCAAACCATCATCTAAACTCTACAGACATGTGCATTAATGCATACAAACCACTGGGGTGGCTCTTGTTTAAATAGCTGTAAAAGCCTTGTGACTTGGGATGGTCCCTGACTCAGAGATGTTCCTGTAAGTGGCCTGGAGGAAATCTATTTTGACTTAGCAGATTTATAAGCATTTTTTAAAGAAAGATAAAGCTTGCTTGTGTGTACTGACATTCTCAAAATTGTTTATTTGCTAAAACTAATCTATCTTGCTATTTCCTTGCCACTAGAACATGGATGTCACTCCTCTCCTGTCCAGTTGAGGTTGGAATCTGCTAGTGCTCTGAAAAAGCCATTTCACAGTCTTTATTAATGCAACATACTCAACTAGTTGAACTCGGTCCCCTTGCAGGTGGCTTGTAGTAATCTTCCTTTGTATGGTTATGTGATTGATTTTTCTCCTAGGTCCCTGTCTCATTTGTTACTCAGAATAGCTACACTGTGTCCAATTATTCTTGTGTATTAATACATTAGACAGACTTCTTGAATTTCTGGTAAATTCTGTTTTGGTGTACAGTGATGTATTTATGAATCATCGTGTTGAATGAGATGATTCTAATCTAATCATCATTCAGATCTAAGTGAATTCAGATGTCCCTTTAAAAGTAGGAAATTGTAAACTATACCGTGCATCTTTCCTTCAGATATCTGCTAAATTTGAGGCAGTTCACTTGTGATCACAAGATTTCAGTGTTAGGATGAGAATCTGAGTTGTGGAGATTAGAATGAGTTAAAAGTACTGATTCTAGACTTTTATTGGGGTCTTGAAACTATGCTAATTTTTTTGTAGGATCAAATTATCAGTGAACCTGAAGTTCAAAAAATGAAATAAATAGAAATAACTAAAGCTATTTTCATGCATAAACCAATAAAAACCAAGATAATATCTACCTTCATTTTGTCCTTTAAGGTTCAATTTCTCAAATTTTTTTTCTGCCCAGTGAAGTCAAAAGGACTATTCATGTCCCTAAAATGAAGCCTTTCCAGAATTGAGGGAACTTGGCTAATAACATAACTACATTTTCTTCTAGTCTTATAAAAAGGAATCATTTTGGCTTCTACTTAAAGGAGTTACAGTTTTGAATGTTCGGATGTCTTCTGACATAACAGAAGCTCTAGCTCTCTAATTCCAGACTGTATTTGTTCTGTTCTGTTTAAAAAAAAAATTTGTTGGTTTTAGCAGCCTTTTAGTCTGAGATCTAAGAAAAAGGTTCTTTTTTTCTTTCTTTCACTCAGCATCTAGCACCAAAGGTTTTGCAGGCCAAATTCTGCCCTCCAACACCTCTGGAAATTCTTTTACCTTAATTTCACTATGGTCATAATTTGGCCTTGCTTTTGGAACTTAAATGAACAGTTCTGTTGATACACACAAGCATAAAGAGGTTCCAGTTTCCTCTTCCGCTGGTGGTGCAGAGCCAGCACATCTGTAGGAGTAAAATTTTTCTTCAAAAAACAAATGAATTAATGTTAGCAGGTACCAATTTATCTGACTCCATACAGGACACATTTTATCAGGCATGGATCTGGGAGGGGTGCACTTGCAGTCCTCCTTCGATTTCTGCTCCGCCCAAAGTTTAAAACCAAATGCCTGGCAGTGGCAGCAGTATTTCTTATTTGACAGTGATGAGGGAGTCAGTTTATTTCACGGCTCATTGTCTACCTGATCCCTTCTAAACTCTTCCTTCCACAGCTGTTAATAACCGTCTCTTCTTTCTTGATCTTCCACCAGTCAAGCTACCCTCTGTTCTGCAATTCTGCTCTGTTAGCTGTTTCCTGATAATGAGGCTCCTATTTCTCTGCCCTGGAGATTGTTTTTAACTCATTCTGGTGAAGTAATGTTTGTTTTTACTTCAATCTAAACTGAAAATACAGTCCTAGGCCCCTAGCTTATTAGTAAAGCTTCTGCTCTATTTTTAACTGGAGATAAATATGTGTCATTTTATATGTGATAAAGCACCTTACCATCTTCCCCCTCCCCTCTTTCAAATTTCTAGATTTGCCAATGGATTTGACTTTTAGAAATTGATTTTTTAGAGGCAAGCATTTCAAAGTGCCATACTGAGCTAATTGTGCATTATCTTTCTCTTCTGTTAGTTAGGGTCAACTATAGGCCCCTGGCAGACATCACTGTGGTTGCATGCTAAATGAGTATCTCATGAGAAATCGTAACATGCCAGTACTGGGTTCCATGTTAAAATTATTGTGGGATGCTTCCATGCCACAAGGAAGCTATTTCAGTGAGCAACTTCTTTGTGACTGATCTGCAACTTTTGGCTGTGGATGAACTGGTTTAATGTGTAACATGTTACAGCTTGTCATGTGATACTTGCATGTAATGTGCAACAAATGTAATATCTGCCAGGGGCATAAGTTGCAAAGATTTTAAGTGAATTTACTTGAGACATAAAACTGGTATTGGTAGCATAGAAAGTAAGGATCCGAGTCGCCTTGCAACACTTGTACTGTAAGTAATAAACCACTCTGGAAACCAAATATGCCAACTTTGGGAGCAAACTTAAATACTGTATAATTCAGGGGCGGGCAATTATTTTGGGCAGAGCTGCGGGTGGCTTACTGAGTTTTGGCAACCAATCAAGGGTGGCATGGGTAGCCAGGCCCCTTGACAGGTGCCTTGCCCCCTGGTTGCCATCTTGGGACCAGAAGTCCCACCCCCTAACCCCTGACCTTTGCCACCAGAAGTCACTCCCTTTGCCCCCTGGAAGTATTCCTTTCAGCAAGGCGGTTTGGCATCTACGAACCAGAAAAATACCAAATTATATTCTAAAAATCAAACTTCTACAACATTCATTAATTCAATTTAAAAATACTTTTGTCCTGATTTACATGCGTTTGTGTAGTGTGCATAGAGGTGATAGTATAATAGCTTAAAATGAAGTCTCATTCTTTTATATTGTGGGAGGGTATGGGTTGGTGGGTATAGGTTTGTGGGTATGTGGGGTATGGTGGAGTGTGTGATTTGTGGGGGGGTGAATAGGGGGTTGTGTGTGTGTGTAGTGTGGGTGGGTATGTGTTTTGTGGGGAACTGTAAGTGTGGGTGGGGGAGGTGGCTGGGGAAAGTTTTGGCTTGTGTGGAGGTGGAGGGTTTGCCCACAGCCAGGCCCCGCCCCCACGAGGCAGGCAGAGCCCCCACCAGTGCTCTTGTAAGCCCAGGGTCCATGCTCCTGGCTCCAGGGCACCAACCTGGGCCCCGTGCTCCTGCTTGGTGCCACGTCCCCTCCCCTCCCATCTGCCACTGCTGCCCTTCTCAATGCTTCCCTGTCCCCACTCCCCTGCACACCACTCTGGCACCACAGCCTAGCTGCTCCTGTGGTCCCAGCACTGCAGCTGGGAACCACATGGTGCCAGAGCGGCTGGCTGGCTGGGGAGGGAGCAGGGAGATGGCTGCAGTAGGCAGGGGGAAGGGGCAGCAAGCAGGTGTGCGGAGTGCAGCAACAGCTGGGCGGGAGCACAGGGCACATGCTGGTACACCGGGGCCCAGAGTGGGGCAGCAGCAGCATGGGGTCCGGGTTGCCAGGAGCTCTATGGAGCAGGAGGGAGACAGCAGCCAGGGGCAGATAAATATTA